GAGCATGAAACTGAGCAAACTCAGGGAGGCAGTGAAGGACAGGAAGGCCTGGCGCAATATGGTTCATGGGGTCACGAAGAGTCGGACACGACTTAACGACTAAACAACAACAACAATTAATAGTAATCCTTAGTATTCCTGGTGCAGGATAGGTTGAAATGCTGATTATGCCAAAGTATCCCTGGCTTCTCAGACTAAGCTTGACTGGGTGCAATATTATCAGTATCCAGCATTATTTAAAAAAACACAGAGAATGATTAATGGAATATGTAGTTCATAACAGTTCACAAGATAATAGGTGAAACATTACCAGATATGACTAGTTCAGCTCAACCAAAATATTCACTGAAGTTTGTGAATTGAGCTTTGAATATTTTCAAGATCAAAAATCTATGGGAAATCAACATTTTCCTTTCCTTTTGTTTTGTTTTTTTAAAAAAACAGCAAAGTTCATTTTTAAGCTTCATTAAAACAGCACCAACTCTTTGGTGTTCTTTACAATTTACAGAGTCAGGTCTGGGGGAAAAAAAAAACCTTTAAGGACTATCCTCCTCCTAAATCTGTCTTGTGCTATAGAATTGTTAATTTTACTTATTTATCTAATTTGCATGGCCACCCATCTCACCAAGTGACTCTGAGCAGTGAACAAAAATTTAAAAATAAAAACAATTACATTAATACAAACATTAAACTACATTGCAGCCAGGAATAAAGCACCCATTATAATGACTAAATTAACCACGAAATGGGTCCGTGCATACACTCGGGGTTGTCACATTCACTAAATGCAGTTTATTGAGAAATAGATAGATTTCCATAGACGACTGACTCTTAGATGGCTGATGCAGCTATTTCCAAACCAGAGAGCATGGTGACATTTATAAGCAAGATTTTGCATCTGTGCAAGATTGCCTTAACACTTTGCCCAGAAAGGCTGCTTAAGAGGCAAGCACAGTCCTTCAGGTAGTTTGGCATTGGGCCAAACCCTTAACTTCATTTGAGATCACATGTATATCATCAGTAGATGCAAAAGTGGGAACAGAAAACTCCTGGATACTGTGAATTATGTTTAATTTGCATTCAGAAGGCCATGAGCACTTCACTGTTCACTTCAAAATGGGTTAATCCCTTGAGAGTATTCCAAGTAGCTCACTGAGGATCAAAGACATGAACTACATCTGGAAAGAACGACTCAGCCCAAGTTTTTAAAAGTTTTGAATAGTATAAACATGATCAATAAAATTAATAGTTTGGAAGAAGAAAGCAAATGTTGAGGTGGGGGGCAGGGCTTAAAAAGCATGAGGTTTTGGTTTGTTTTCTTTTTTATTCTATGAACAATAAGATACCATATTGTCTCTGGTATTTGCATGACTATCATCTAATACTGTTCCATGGGATTCTTGGGGAAAATTATGGCTATCCATTCATTGGGTTTTTAAAAATATTTGCTGATGTTCACTCAGTACAACGTGAATTCACACAGTCTTTTTTTTTTTTTTAATAGAGTTACATACTATAATTCCTCCTTTATTTTGGCTTATGTTTGAACAGAGCCAAGTGATTGGCCTATTGTTGACATAACGACAGACTCAGGTGATAACTGCTAAATTGAAAAGATGTTATTCAATAAGTCAGTTGCTATCAGCCTTTTAAAGTCGTAATCCCATGTATGCTGATCCAAGCAACTACCAGCTGAAAGTTCATTTCTTAAAATCTCAAAGCTGTGTTGAAAATGCAAGGAATCTCAAATTACTTCTATGTATAAGCAGTAGTTTGTAATGTTATCTCTGGTCCATTTTATATTGGTGTACTTCACTTATAGAAAGAACTCAAACGTTCCATATAATTGGATGAATAATTATAGCAATTGTATTGATAAGCTCTTCCATCATACAAAGAGAAGAATAATAAATAGTACACTTCAGTAAGAAGTTATGGATAATAGCATTAAAGGTATATGTTCTAGAACCAGGGGGCTTGACAGAAAGGAATTCTCCTGAAAGAATGCCTTATATCATTTTATCAAGATTATGATGGACTCAGGAACCAGGAGACTGTAGGGGGTCCCCTACGCAGGAACCAACACTGTCCATACATATGTATCTACATGCATATGTAATACACACTTTTTAATTGCAGATTTTAGTAGAAATGTTCTGAACAGAGGTTCTTCAATGACAATATCAGCTAATAACATTAAACCTTTAGGGTACACAATTGGTACAAGAAGAGATGGAAGAACAGAGCAAAAAAAAAAAGAAGAAGTAAAAGTACTGCTTGTCCCTTCCTCATCAATATAACATACTTCATTTCACATCTTATACATTATTGTTTTGGGTTCTCCTCATAATTAAGGTATTTTTATAACTCTATATCATGAAAATTCTGAGAAATTTAGAATATATGCATTATATAAAGTTATTTTTTAAAAAACCAGCTGTATGTAAATTATTCATCTTAAAATACCCCCATTTTTCTCTCATTCCCCCACCCCCAAACATTCCAGTCTATTTTCTGGCTCAATATTTTCCCAAAACAGGCTAGAATCAATGCCCATTTATGTAAAGCAAATACCAATTAAAATAACAGCAACAGCAGCAAAACACACTCATTATAACTTAATGCACTCAGTTATAATATTATTATGGAAATTAAACAGAGAATTGTTCACTTTTCAGTAGGGTCCAATCTGGAAAAGGAAACATTTATAGGGATTAAGAGAATATATGCATCAGGATTTCTGGACAAATTATCATATTTCACTGCTCTGTAGTGTTGCAGATTAGGTTTTGATGGAAGCCTTAGATTTCATATCTAAGTTGCAGGAGACAGCTGGAGTGTCAGCTCCATTCTGAAATAATTATTTAGAGTCAGGGAACACTAAGCATTTAAGAACAAGCATAGGACAAATGTTTATCTTGCATCAAATTAAATGTAGATGTTTATACAGGTTCTTTTCCCCCCCCTTAGATCTAAGATTTGCTGTAACCAAGCAGAAGTACTGTTAAGTCATCAAATATACTGTAGGTATGGAAGAAGACATAGAGGTAATGTTGTGTATTACTGAAAGAATACTACTTTATAACTTAATTTTCCAAAAACAGATTTGTTTCCTTTAGAGAATATAGATGGGTGCTTTTTTTTTTTTCAGCCCTGAATTGGCTTTTCATGCAGACTCTAAATTCTTATCCACACATGAGAATCCAAGAAATTTCCTTTAATAATTAAGAGGCACTACTTGCTGAAAAAGTAATGAAGTTAACAAATTATTCTTAACCCAGTTTTGGTCTTCATAATAGTATTCTTTTTTATAAGAATGGCAGGTTCATTTCACAAGCCTTATTCAAAACTGTGCAGATTTCCTTAGGGTAAAAAAAAAAAAGATTCCTAGCAATTTAATTATATGTTCCTTTCTTTAATGAAATGTTGGATAACATTCTGAGATTTAGTTTTCTTTTGCCTTGGCATTTACAAATATTGCAGTAGTGCTAATGCTGTATTTCAACACAGATCACTCTTAGGACTGTTGTTTTGTCTTGCACAATGGCTACCAATGGTGTAATTCCAATCACATTCAAACAGTGAAGATTGCAAGTCTCCCTTGGAATGCTATTATAAGAGAGCTCTGCTTGAAATATATTCTAATTTTGATATCAATTCTGAGTTCAATTAACTGTTTTTAAGTAAAACAAGTTTTGCTTGAAAAATCATGCTGGCTAATGGAATAGAAGCCAATTGACAGGGTTAATTACAAACAACACACCCTAGTCACAATTGTAACTTATTAAGCTTGGGAATTTCTTGCACTGTGAAACCAGCCTGTCAGATGCAAGCACAGAATACCATATTGCCTCTATTAGAGCTGTGCAGCACTTCAGATTCAGTTCCGAAAAGGCACTTCACAGTGTTTAGTGGCACAAATGTAGTCGTTGTCTTCAACTATTTAAACCATTTAAAGCAGCTGCATCTTTTCCGGGATTATGCAGCTGCCCTTTTCCTGAGATACACGTGACTGCTCTAAGGAATTTCATACAATACTACATTTGCACCCCATGCCCCAAAGTACCTTTTTGAAATCAACTCTGAAGTGCCTCACAGTTCCAGTTTTATACCTTTGAAATGTCTGCAGAGTCAGTCAATCCAGGCCATTTAAATAGGAATTCCTCAAAAGGAATAGTTTTAATGGGAAATGTTTAGAGTTTAAATGTTTAAAAGAATCATTCTTAATCTGAATAATCTGATGTACCAGGCTACAATTCCCTGAACTCATAGCCAACAGAGTTCCCAACATTAATCCAACAAATCTGAGAATGTCAAATTGAGAAAAACTAGCCTAGGGTTTTCTAGTGAATTTACACCAGGATCAGGACAAAGAACTCCATCTCTGCCCTGGTTCCCTTGTGCAACCTAAGGCATGAGCAAATAAACAGGAACACTCTGAAGCAGCCTATCCTGGAGATAATGCATCTCAGTCTTGCTGATCATGACCATCTCGTGATTTTAATCTTTGGGCTGGATACTAAGTGGCCAGAAAGACAGCTACTTGAAGATGCTTCAGCTGGGGCACCTACAAACACAGCTCTTACTTTTGTCCACCACAACCTTCCCCTTCAAGAGGGGAAGCAGAGCAGTGCTAATAAATTCTTTAACAGGTATGCCTTTGACCAGATCTGTCCTAATCTCAGTTATCCGTCATCTTTCAAAAACCATGTCATGCTGAAAGCCCTGTGCTTTCAGTAAAAGCCTGACGCTCTCTCTAAAGAACAAATATGGGATGGGTGAGGTTACGGGAAGTAAGAATCAAAACTATACCCTCTCTTCAGGGTATAGCTAAAAAATAACTTCTATTGAGATATGTAGCTACATGCTACATATTGATAGTCACTGACATTACTTTGAGCCCAAGTGTACTTTGGACCGAAGTTATAATGAAAGTTTTACTATATGGAAATAGAGAAAAAATATTAACTATGACAGAATTATAACAGATTTCCGGGATAATATTCCCAATTAAAAATAATGTTTTGATTCACCATGACATGAATTATTTCCATTCTCACTTCATTGACCTTATAATATCTTTACATTGAACAGAAAATCAAGAAAAGAAGTGTCCACATGAACACACTTGAGATTTTTTAAAATATCGGTGACGTGTATTTACTAATTGGATTGAAGATGGAGTCAGAAACGTCCAAAGGAAACACTAGATACTGTCTTGTTTAAGCCAAAATTAGCTGTCGGTTTCTCCATGGACATTCTCCATGTGCACTTTGAGGTAGTCATTTCTTGTAAACTTTTTGTGGCACAGCTGGCATTCAGCCATGGGCCGATTGGGATTGTGTGTCAGCTTGTGCCGGATCAGCATCTTCTTGAGGCTGAAGGACAAGTCACAAACCTAAAGTGCAGAGAAAAAAGACAAACATCAAAGCAAAATCACTGAATTGCCTGAAGACCTTTTTAATAAACTCACATAGAGGTCTCCCAGCACTGAACGTTATGCATAATCTTAAATAAACCAAAGGACAAATCTTCTATGTCATTTCTGAAATGGAGAAATTTTAGGTCATTGTCTTGTTTCTAATCACCTGAGGATTATTAACTAAACCGATGCAAAGTGCAACTTTTAAAAAATAAATTTGATTTAATTAATTACATTATACAAGACAATCCGTTCTCAAATACACGTAAAATAAAAATGAACAACTCATCACTCCAAAAAGTAAAAAACAACACAACAAATAAAAAGACAGAAAAAGACAGAACCTGTAATTATAAATATATTCCAAGTTCACCTGATTTTATAAATCTTTAAAAGAGGAAACTAAGCTTTCAATATTTACCAAACCGAAGATTTTTTTTCCCAAAAGAGATGATGTGACATTTTCTGATTGACAGAATATATAATTTTCTTAAAAATGTCTAGATAACACATCTCTAAAATCCAAAATGTGCAAATTACATCCCAGTAAGTAAAACAACTTCCTACTTCTTCTTTGGAACAGGATAACAGAGTTGTGTAGTTTTTTAGTATCATACATTTATAAATGAACATTTCTACATAACTAACATTTCACTAGGAGCTCATCTTCTCAAATTCAATAAAATCATTGCCTCTTTGCTTCAGTTACATATATGTGCAAAAGAAGGAATGATAACTATAAGTTACTATGAAGGGGAGGATATTAAATCAGGCTCTAGCAGCTTGCTTTACTGCAGCCTTATGGTTAGTAATTCACCTGTTCATTTACGGTTAACCAAAAATTTCATGCAAGGAACTGAAGAAGATTGATGACTTCTCCCATCAGCAAGGCTGATTTCCATGGTAACTGCAAAGAAAGGATTTTTTCTGCATATGGCATGAAAATGTAGGCTATAAACATCTTAGCAGACTTGGTTTGGGGGGATGCCATCAAGATCCTGTCCTCCTGTCTGAAGGCTGTGGGAGTATGGATGGAAAAGAACAAGCTTTGGTTTAACCCTAGCAAGACCAAGTGCCTGTGGATTTTGTGGGCCTCCTGGATATGGAGATTTTCCATCTTTAGTTTTGGATGGGGTAGCACTTCCTCAGATAGAACTGGTGTGCAATTTGAGGGTCATCTTGGACTCTCGGTTCCTGCTCAATGAACAGGTGGTAGCTGTGTCCAGAAAGGCCTTCACACAAATCCATCTTGTGGGCCAATTGTGCCCATTCCTGGATCAGGAGGCCCTATTCATGATCACCTATCTCCTGATGGGACTTTGCAAAAGTGGTATACATAGGACTGCCCTTAAAGACCATCTGGAAACTGAAACTGGTCCTGAATGCAGTAGTGTAGGCAGTTATGGGTACATCATTGTATGTTCATGAAAGACCACTGTTTTGGCTTCCAATAAGCTTCTGGATGCAATTCAATATCTTGGTTACTGTTTATAAAGCCTTTCATGGTCCAGGGCTCTGTTATTTGCAGGAGTACTTATCTCTTGAAGACCTGGGTTTTCCCCCAGCTTTCGGCCAGTATGCTGGCAGAGCCCGTCTATAAGGTTACAATGTGAATGTTTGTGGGTTGACCTTGGTTTCTCCTGTTTTTTTCCTTATGCTACTTTCTGTTCTTGTTGTTGGTTTTTTTGTTTCTTTTGCTGATTTTGCTCTTGGGTTTAATGGTATGTTAGCTGCCAAGAATCACAACCTGAAGTTAGACAGCGAAGTACCGTATTTTTCCGACAATAAGACGCCCCCATGTACAAGACGCCCCCCACTTTTCCAACC